CTACCAGCCAGAACGGAGATGTAAGTGCCAAGAAAGATGAGTTGGTGGATTGAATTCTATTGCTTCAGCTGAATGTTGATTAATTTAACCAAATTCCTTTATCTTTAACTTTCTTCTCTCTCTCTCTTTGCCTCAGTATGTTGTCAACTGTAACAGCGTTGGCCAAATGCCTGATTTGACCTTCCACATCCACGGACAGGCATTCACCCTCCCAGCCTCTGCCTACGTCCGTCAGGTAAGTGTTTGTTTCCTTGCCAGACTTTCTATTGTCTCATCTCACTATAGTTCCCCTCCATCTAAATTCTTCTTCTAAATCCCTCCCACAGTCTCAATACTACGGCTGCCGTACTGGCCTTGGCAACGGAGGTGACAACCTGTGGATCCTGGGTGATGTCTTCATCAGACAGTACTATTCCATCTTCAACAGAGCCCAGAATATGGTGGGTCTGGCCAAGGCTAGATAATCAACCTGAAGTCACCTCTCCCAAGAGCCATGCCACAATCATATGTACATCTTAGTGTGATAGTAAGATTTACAACATGCATGGTTTTTTCAGTGCTACTGTAATGATGTGTAATCCCTGAGACTCAAATCTTGATCCTATAAATGATAAAAATGTCCTCAAATTCAATAAAAAGAGTTAAGTCAATTTTACTGGAGTTTTGTCAAATTGCACAACAAACAGACACGGTTCTTTATCATTGGCAATGATTAGCTACTACTGTGTAACATCTCATATAAGATGGAAACTCAACGCAACACAGCCTTTGATGTGAATGTGCTTCATACAAAACACATAAGAGAATAACTTTACATTTTTGTAAATAGCTCTACTGTATGTTCATAAGGTTGCAGAATGTTCCAGTTTATTTCTCCTCCAACCTGTGCCCTGCACAATAAATCTATAGTATGTTGAATAATGATTAGTTTGCATTCAGGTGAGTCTACTCTGTGGCCACAAGCAATTATGGCTTATTTTGGTAAATACTAAAATATAGTGTAAAAGTGGCAGAAGTAGCCATAAAGTAAGCAAACTAAGTTTGCTTGCATTAGCTAACATTTGCCACAGTGAGCTACTTGTCATTCATTCATGTACAACAAAATAACCTATGGTCAAAAGCACGCTCTGGCTTTTGGAAGCTTTGGATTTGTCTGCATGTATATTTAAGACTCTTTTTTACAAGATTCTCATTTGGAAATGAGTCATCTGGAAATTTAAGCAAAAATTTTCAAGCATTCAAGGAACTTATGCTTATGTTTGCTTAATTAGCTGGGTAGCTGCAACTGATAAAATATGCTAATGACAACTTTCAAAAAAATTGAAAATTAATTCATTAATAGCATATTTTTTGAGAACAGAAAGCTTTAAAGGTGCACCAACTAAGGGAAGAAGGGCTTAGTGAGTTTGGAATCAGCACTTAAAAAGTAAAAGTTAAGTATGTATACATGATGGTAAGAAGGATTATTTTCCAACCCATTACATTCAAGACAATGACATGGTGGCTATGCTACATATATTTAAGATACATAAGATGGCATGTATTTTGAGTTATCGTGAAGATATAATCACAATTTTCCTTATAACACAGAGCACTAGATACTGGACTACGTGACACTGTCAACCTCATCTCATTGCTCAGGGGTCTTTGCGAGATTTAAACATAGAACTTCAGACGTGATAATAAGTGGAGTGCCCCTGGTAGTACCTGTTGAGCAAACAGCTTCCATCCATTTTGTGATTCTAATCATGTTTTAAATGTTAGCCTATGTATACATGGATACAATTGTACATGTCTTTAAAAGTACTTATATTATTTTAGTCCACTGATTTAAAGATCACATTTAAGGACCGAAGTTTCTCATGATTACTTGCTATATCTATCTATTGGCCTTAAGAGCACACTGATGGTATGAGGAAGTTCAAACAGAATGCCATTTCATCTTCCTCTGACATTCCAGTCTATTTTTAGTTCCTCATACAATGGGCTTCCTGGTGAAAAAACCTGTTGTACTTCAGTAGATAAACCTGCTTTTCTATGATGAAATCAGTTCTTTGTACAATAACGACTTGTCAAATCTGAAGTAAAAAGAACTCAAGAGAGGCTGGGAATAACTGGTAAGTACTGTTCCTCTAAACATTTGATCTTCTTGTATATACTTTTTTTTTGGCAATCTAATAGCCACAAACTACTACATTGGCAAGAGTTTGAGGGGTGACTTTGAGTTGTTTTATGTAGAATTTCAGATTACAATGTTTGCTGAAAAAGGCAAAAGGAGAGAAGTCACAAGATACTGTGACTGGATGTCACAATTACCACCTGAACTTCACAACATTCCTCTCTTTAATCTGGCCATACCAGGTATGAAGCTTAAATAATGTTACTGACTGCATTGCTACTGCATTAAACTAATACACAGCACCCAGTTTTGACAGTGCGTGGGTTAAGGTCATCAAAACTAACCTATTGTCACTGTCATGTGAAAAACATGTATCACCTTAATAAGCTACTTTTAAAAAGCCCTTTTTGTGCTTTGTGACAGTATTTTTTATCAGATTTGACAATGGGTTTTTAAAATACTTATATATTAATATATATATATATATATTAATATTTAGTTTAAGACATATAAGATTATAAGATTGTCGACAGCCATGGTCTGTGAAGCACAGCTGTGCATTCAGCAAGATGCTAATGTCAGCATGACATACAATCACAATGCTAACATGCTAAGCTAATTTTAAGCAGGTATAATGTTTACCACGTTCACCATCTCAGTTTTAGTGTGTTCACATTTGCTAATTAGCACTAAGCACACTAAACACTGTGTGTGTGTGTGTGCACTTCATATTTCCTAGGTAGCCATGACTCAATGAGTTATGACTTGGACATCAACTCCTCTATAATAGAACCTGACAGTCTGAAACGTTTCAGCAAGATTTATTGTGCACGTAAAATAGTGCGCAAATGGGCAATCACACAGGTAAGTAGTGTTAAAAACCTGTCAAAACCAAATGTACTTTTGAATGTAATAAATAGAGAGCGGCGTGATGTAAGGACTTCTGATGCAGGAGGAGACCATCACAAAGCAACTGGATGTAGGAGTCCGCTACTTTGACCTGAGGATTGCTCGCAAGGCAAATGACACTGACCCCACTAGATTTTTCTTTTATCATGGGCTGTACACGCAGACTGATGTGGAGGTAAGGATGGAAATGTCATATAGAACCATAAGAACATTGCCCCTTTTCATTATATAAACATAAATACTTATTTAGAAGTAAATAAACCTTTGTGGGTAATTATTCACCACTATTCTCAGGAATTATTTTAGGCTTTCTGCATTTTTAGTCTACATATGTGACTACTTCTATGTAATAAATACATAAATTAATTACAGAAAATATAAGTGAACACACGCTGAATAAATAGACTGCAGGTCGTCCCAGTGTACTAGTGGATTATGAAGCTGGGGATGTAATTGCAATGTCCCAAATTCGAGTCTTGCCAGAAACCTTTATTACATGTCATCCTTCTCACTCCTCACATTTCTTGTCCCATCTATACAGTCAGCTAAAAATAAAAGCACTAATGAATTACTTTCGACTAACATTTTAGAGACTTGAGGTGTGTGAAGGGGGACATGAACTCATCATGGCCTCTGCCTTCTTTAAATCCTGGCTACAGCCCTGAACATTGTAAAGTCAGATCTCTGAGAAAAAAACATTTCAGCATCCCTCTTAAGGTTTGTCAAAAGTGGACAAATTACCACCTGAAACAAGGACAGTAAAAATGCACAGGCTCTATATGGTATCATACATACCCACAAAAGGTCAAATAAGATCAGAATAACTTTTACTGTTTGTTTGCAGTTTAGTTTTTATCATATAGTATATATATTTGACAATGCATTTACTATGAAAAAAAATCTTTTTCTTTTAAATGTAGGCCTAGATTTATTTGATGCCAACTGTATTAAAAACTACTCTTCTGCACTTGTGATCAGACTATTCTCAAAGTCATAAATGACTGGGCGGAGAAGCACCCCAAAGAAGTCCTCATCCTGGCTTTATCCAACTTCAAAGGGTTTACTGAAGAGGCCCTCCACATCCATCTTATCAACTTCATCAAAACCTTGTTTGGAGCCAAACTGGTAAAGTATACTGAATTTTCCTAACGAGATCTATAAGTCAAACTTATCTCATCATTAAAGTACCTACTGTAAGCTATATGGCTTTTAGATGAAAATAACTTGAGCTTATACCACTTATCAGCCTATATATTTATGTTCTTTCAAGGTATCAAAACAGGCCAATCCTACCCTGAGGAAATGCTGGGACCAAGGCACAAATGTCATAGTTTCATATGATTATCCTGCGATTCTGCAACCTGAGATTTGGAGTAAAATAACTTATTACTATGGCAACAGTATGGACCACAAAGAAGTTGAATCAGAACTTCGTCAGGTTTTGGAAAAAGGAAGGCCTCCTGATCCCTGTAAGTTTCTCATAAAGATGATTCAAGATCAGAGACATTTTAAAAAATGACCCCCCCACTTCTTCTTGGCTGCAGGTTTCTTTGTGTGTGGCTTGAACCTGACTCTGCCAGATGATGCCAGGATACTCAAGTACATCCTTCGCCTTTGTGACAACTTTGTCAACGTCATACGAAGGAGTCTGCCAAAGCTGCTGCGGTGGGTGAAACAGCAAGCTGAAAAAACACCTATGAACATTGTCGCCTCGGACGTGGTGACTCGTGACGGCTTCGTCTCAACGGTTGTCAACCTCAATGTCTCTAAACATGTGAAAAGATAGTGGAATCACGTCTCGTTTAATTGTGTCTTTCTTTATTACAATAATAATTCTGTTTAAATTTTTTTTCCTGTACAACAAATTCACCCTCTTGCTCTCTCACCAACCAATGATGTATTATTGGAAGAACCCACACACACTGTGATTGTTTTCAATGTGCCTGGCCCGTTGGCGCCACCATGTGTCAATTTCTGGTCCTGCAATAAAATGTTCGCCTCATGCCTGGAAATTTGGGCTGGTGTGTGTCAACAAAGTAGCTAACGTTAGCTTGCTAAAGTAACTAAGCTTTAATTTAGTGGATTAGGATGTTAAGATTAGCATGGCGTCGGTCAGCGTCCAAAAATAGTCGCGTGGATCCTGCACGCCTTTTGACTTCAGCTTTTATAGGAGGTTGTCGTCCAGTGAGTCCACAGCAGAACTCGGGGGGTTACAGCATTGACGCTAGGTGCTACAGACGAATTCCCCACCCACCACCGAGCGATAGGTTAACGTTACCGCTGCTCCATCCCCAGTCGGCCTGCTACATAAGGTAAAGCCGCCACGGCTAATGGGTTGCTAATGCTAGATGTGCAGTACTTTGACAAGTAGCAGCAGACACGCCTAGCATTGATTTAGCAACAATATTAATGGCACGTCAAATTGTTCGTTAAGTGTTTACTTGCTTTGCTGTTACTGTGGAGGTAGGACGAATAGAAGAGCCACGCCAAACTCCATTACACAATCATACAAATAACAAATAACCCTAACATTAACTATTGCCATGAGACATACTCTTGTGAGTACAGACATTTAACCAAGGTCCAAATGCCTCGTCTTTTAATTCGGCGTAACTAGTTCCATAATCCAAGCAGCATCTAGCTAGATAATGTCTAATAATTTGTCAGCATTTCTAACTCGGTTGCCTGGTAACGTTAACACAAGACCACCTTCTGCTAGCGGTAAACTAGCTAACCCCAAGTGCCCTTGGGTAAATAAATGTAATAGATACGTGTCAATTTGTCGTTTCTATTTCGGCCGAATTTCAAGAAATAGTCTAATGTATCCGAAACTATTTTCGGTCATGTCTTCCGGGGCAGGAACCTTTGCCTATAAGCAAAGTCACTTTAAATTTGTAAATATTCAAATGGAAGTCGACATGATTGTCCCATTGGATAACAGTTAAGTTACAGTTCTTGACTACTGCAGCTGGATCTGCTGAACAAGCTTCTTCACGATCAGCTAGTCGGAAGCGTGTTATTGCTTTGTTAGTTTAGTTTTAGTGGTATACATTCTGGTTTAAACTAATTATAGCAGACTAATGTAGTAAAGTTAACAGTAGCTTAGCTCTACGCTGTCAAACCCAGGATTTTAAGTGGTGAACATTAACGTTACACTGGCAATAAATGCAGCCCTTTCTACATTTCATAGGCAGATATCGTACTTTTTACTCTGCTTCATTTATTTTGATAACTTTAGTCACTCTTACTTTGCAGATTGTGGTTGATAAAATATAATCAACAAATTAATTATGATGTATTGTTATGGATAAAGACCAGACTTAACTGATCCCTTCGTGAAATTCACAAGCTACCTGGCAGATAAGTGAAAAATAAGCCCCACCTTTACCAGCTGCAACATTAAAATGAACATATAAATCATCAATTATTTTAGTTATGTAATGTAATATACATTATTCTGAAATGAGCCATTCTGCAAAATGAGTACTTTTACTTTTTGTACTTATATTTTGATTCTAATATTTTTGAAATTGAGATTTTGAATACAGGAATTGTACTGTCTGCAACAGAGTATTTCTGCACTGTGGTATTGCTACTTTTACTCTTAAGTTAAAGATCTGAGTACTTCTTCCACCACTTCATTTCTGTATTTGTTATTTTTCTGCAGTGTGACAGCACTACTATACACCTGTCTGATAGCAGACAGCTTGACTTGTCATTGCAGGAAAAGCACAGGTGTTATGGATAACATTACATAGTGATGGCTGCAGCTAACTGTCCCAGAATGCAAACCTGCATAATCGCCCTGCAACTGGAACACCAAATTGGAATGCAACCGTTTGTTGCATTAGTAATAATTACATCTGTGCTTTTATTTCAGTCAATGACAGGTATGTTGAACATCAATGAAGCTTAATAATAGAGCCATCAGGGGGTGCCATATTTCCAAATTAGCTGTTGATGAAAACAAAAAAAACAATAATTTTATAGCTGTCAGTGTCATTTGAAAAAAAAGAAGGAAAAAGTCATGCTCTTTGGGATATCTTTTTTAATTCAAGACACACAGAATTAACCTTTTGTAAGATTTCTGGCTTTTGGAGATTTCTCTACATTACCGCCAACAAACAGTGACTTAAATTGTAAATATGTCCATGTGTCCAGTTCATCTGTCTTTCTGAACATGGCGTCAGGGGGTGAAGGGCCGTCATCCACCCCTCACAGACACACCAACAGGCTAGCCAAGGAGAGGTCGCCCTACCTGCTCCAACATGCACACAACCCTGTTGACTGGTGAGTGCCTTAAAGCTAAAGAGAGGTAGACATTTCTGAAAGCTGATGTCGTATATAAACTGATGTCATGCTTACTTCAGGTACCCATGGGGACAAGATGCTTTTGACAAAGCAAAGAAGGAAGACAAACCGATATTTTTATCAGGTAAGAAGCGCCTCTTACGCCTGGTTTTCATTTTGTGGACACGTCACTCTGAATTTCATTGTGAGAATTTTTTTTTACTGCATGTAAATTATACCTCTGATATGAGAGACAGTAAATTGGGAAATGGAAACACTCACTTTTCACATGATGTCATACTGTCTTACTGTAGTTGTGCTTGCACTGGACAATGACACGTCTGTTTCCTTTAAATCTCCCTCTCTGACCACTAGTGGGCTACTCAACGTGCCACTGGTGCCATGTTATGGAGAGGGAGTCTTTCGAAGATGAGGAAATTGGCAAAATCCTTAGTGACAACTTTGTCTGCATCAAATTAGACAGAGAAGAGAGACCTGATGTGGACAAGGTTTACATGACCTTTGTACAGGTGTGTGTGTGTGTGTGTGTGTGTGCTCACAAACGGTTTTCTCGCACAAGCCTTTTATTTTTGCTCTACTAATATTCTCTCATTGTTCTTGGTTGTTGCTGATGTCTACAGGCAACAAGTGGAGGGGGTGGTTGGCCCATGAGTGTGTGGTTGACCCCTGACCTACGTCCTTTCATTGGAGGCACCTACTTCCCTCCTAGAGACCATGGAAGTCGACCTGGGCTCAAAACAGTTCTCACCAGAATCATGGACCAGGTAAAACTTGATTTAGTGTTTGAGTTTTACAAATTCTGATTTATGTATTTCTTTATCCCCGTGTTTGACCCATTGAAACAGTTCATTTCATGAGATATAAGTGGTATGTATGCGGAAGACTGGGCTTCACAACAGCATCTAAGTCATCAACAAGTGCGAGTATGTTTACAATGCAAGAATGACAAAATCTTGAGATTTTGAGTTGACACGTTGCATTTTCAGCGTTTTCTTTTTTTTTTTAAAGTTATGTAGTTAGGTCTCAGCCTTGTGCACTGTCTTTGTCATCCCTACATATTCACAAGTATGACTTGTGATCCTCAGTGGCATAACAACCGTCCTGCTTTGGAGTCCAGTGGGGACAGGATCCTTGAAGCTCTAAAGAAAGGTACTGCCGTCGCTGCAACCCCAGGAGAGAGTCCCCCACCGGCCCCAGATGTTGCTAATCGCTGCTTCCAGCAGCTGGCGCATTCCTACGAGGAGGAGTATGGTGGCTTTAGAGATGCTCCCAAGTTCCCCACACCAGGTAGACAGAACCGCAGTGGACATGTTTGGACTGGGCCTATTGAATGCACTTCATTTGACTCTGTTTCTCTTTCCCTCCATCTCCCTTCCTCCATAGTGAATCTGATGTTCCTCATGTCTTACTGGTCTGTGAATCGCTCCACCTCAGAAGGAGTCGAGGCTCTTCAGATGGCCTTGCACACACTCCGCATGATGGCGCTGGGAGGCATCCATGACCATGTGGCACAGGTTCATACACATTTGAATTGAAAAGCAATTTGAAGACTTCATTTAGGCCTCTGCGAGGTCAGAAGGGCATTTCTCACTGTTTTCTGATATTGTATTGACTAAGTTATGAATTAATTGATAAAGACAATTGTCATCAGATTAAGTGATAAGCAGTGTTTATCTATTACAATTCAGATCAGATATGCAGGTCATTTAAACTGCATATTATTTTCAGACAGTATACAGTATCTCACAAAAGTGGATACACCCTTCACATTTGTGTAAATATTTGATTATATCTTTTCATGTGACAACACTGAAGAAAATACACTTTGTTACAATGTAAAGTAGTGAGTGTACAGCTTGTAGAACAGTGTAAATTTGCTGTCCCCTCAAAATAACACATCACACAGCCATTAATGTCTAAACTGCAGGCAACAAAAGTGAGTCCACCCCTAAGTGAAAATGTCCAATTAGCCATTTTCTCGTCTCATGTGGCTCGTTAGTGACAACATGATAACAACCCCAAACACACCTCCAAGACGACCACTGCCTCGCTAAAGAAGCTGTGGGTAAAGGTGATGGACTGGCCAGGCATCTCTCCAGACCTAAACATCCACCAGCTCCAGGGAATGGAAGAGGAATCCAGTGGCAACCTGTGATACTCTGGTGAACTCCATGCCCAAGAGGGTTAAGGCAGTGCTGGAAAATAATGGTGGCCACACAAAATATTGACAATTTGGCGAGGCAATGCAAGTTTATTTGTATAGCACCATTCAACAAGGTAATTCAAAGTGCTTTACATAAAACATAAAAGCAACAGGGAAATAGAAAAAAGTTTAAAAGCAACATAGGGAAATAGAAAAAATACGCATTACAAAATAATAAAAGCTAGAGTGCAGTGTATAATTTTGGGCCCAATTTGGACATTTTCACATTTGGACATAGGGGTGTACTCACTTTTAGACATTAATGGCTGTGTGATGTGTTATTTTGAGGGGACAGCAAATTTACACTGTTATACAAGCTGTACACTCACATTGTAGCAAAGTGTCATTTTTTCCACTGTTGTCAAATGAAAATATATAATTAAATATTTAGACAAATGTGAGCGGTGTACTCACTTTTGTGAGATACTGTATATGATGCCTCGTGATGTATCTCTTCCGCAGGGTTTTCATCGATACTCCACAGATTCCTCCTGGCATGTTCCCCACTTTGAAAAGATGTTGTATGACCAGGCTCAGCTGGCTGTAGCCTACATAACTGCCTCCCAGGTGTGTATCTGTGGCTGTGTATGTGTATGATCTTCTTTGTTTATCTGACAGGGTATCCGTCCATCATTCTGTCTCTCTTATCCAAGTAATTAATCCCCATATTACCCATTCAATGAAAATCATTGACGTGAGACTTTGCCTCAGAGTTAATACAAACACTCATAATGATATTGAATGTGCTAATACACACATATCACAATTGGGTAATATTGTAAATTGTATGGCTTGTTGTTTTCAGTTTATGACCAATTTTCACTTAAAACATTATTTAAAAGTTCAAATAGATTTGAAGCAGTTTGCACTGCACTGGACAAGATGTAGCAATAAGAACTGGAATCTGAATACCATAGTTATTTAGTTTTCTCATGAGTGTATGCTGGGGGTGGCCTGTGAACAGAGACAGAAACTAATTAGGACGCAAACATGCAGGCAAATGCATACAGACACACATACTGTGCACACATACTGTGTTTAATAAGGGTATAGAAACTTCTGCAGTTACTGTACTGGATATAAATCACATGACGGTATCCTTAAGGTTATGTTATGGTGGAATCATGATTGTCAGCAGGTGTGTGCCATGTGTTTCTCCTTTTCCAGGTATCAGGTGAGCAGCTCTTTGCAGATGTGGCTAAGGACATACTGCTCTACGTCTCCAGAGACTTGAGACACAAGGTGAATCATCTATAGCCTGTGTGTGTGTGTGTGTGTGTGTGTGTGTGTGTGTGTGGTGTATGTGTGCATGTTTTTTTGTTACTGGTTTTACAGGGACCAGATGTCCTCATTGGGGCACCAAGGTGTCGGCAAATATTCTAAAGGTTTTTTTTTAGCATTAAGAAGATATAAAAGGGAAGTGAGAGTAAGGTTTAGTTTTGGATTAGGATGTAAGTGAAGGTTACTGTGTTTGGGAATGCATGTTGACATAGTAAATTAATTATACGCAGAGCAATATAAACAGCAGTTTGAAGTTTGTTGTCACAACGTCTGTATCCACTGCTGACAAAGCACCGACATTAACTGTAAATTCAAACAGGAGAAAATAAAAATACACATGATAAGCGTGTGCTTGCCTGTGAGAGTGCGCCTGTGTGTTCGTACATCCTCGAGGGCAAGGGATGGTTTTCCGTTGACAAATAGCCTCTTAAACCCCTTGCTCTCCTGTGAGGGTCAACCCTTTTTTCTTTTTGATTAATGAGTCGACAGCAGTGAACGGAGTACACAATTAAAACCTCACTCGTTGTAATCATTATCATCCCCAAGATTTATTATGTAATTATAAGCTAATGAATTAAAGTTGTAAAGGTAATTTACCATGGACTGTATGTTTCTTTTGTGCTACTATGTCTGGGATTTTCCCTCAGTGAGGTAGACTCCACAAGTTCCCGTCATGACTGTAATAGTACTATGTTTGTACTGTTGGGAGTTGCCCATGCGCAGTACCTAGTTATGGACTACTAGCCAATCAGAAAAAGAGTAGGATGGTATTGTAATCCAAAACAAAACCACTTCAGCCTCAGCCGTACATGTTAGAGCCTGGGTTTGATCCCGAAACACTGGCAGAACAACCGGAACCAGCTTTGCAACCTAGACTTTAGCAAGACATATCAGAGTGGTAAGTTTTTAATTTGTGGTAAATTTAACTTTCTACACCACAGTAACAATTTATTCAACAACATTTATGTCCATTGACTGCCTGGATGGTATCAAACGCTAACGATTTTAATTTCATATTTAGTTTTAGGGCGTGCCACATTAGCCACTAGGCTAACGTTCTGAATACACACCGCTCTCAGCCCCATCGTTTAACACAATACCAAGCAGTCATTCAATCGAGCTAGAGCTGGAGGTTGTATAGTGTGTTTCATAGAAAGTGCTTTTACAGTTTTGAAGGAAAGTTAAATATTTTCTTATGTCCAATGGCTACTCTTCCTCGATCAGTTTCCTGATCGACAGATAGCTTTACTTGTTGATAATGCTGCAGTAACCGCTAGCTACTGCGAACTGTAGCTGCCGTTATCAGCTGACTCTGCAGTAGTTAGCAGCTAAAGTAACTGCTAACGTCAAGTAAAGCTATCTGTCCATCAGGAAACTACGTAAATCACTGAAAGTTGAGGCAGAGTAGCCAGTGGACATAAGAGGGAAAACCAGAAAATATTTTCCCCATAAAATATGATTTAGTTTCACCAAAATCAGTGAATAAAGTTGTTGTTAAAGTTGTGTTTTTGTACTGAGACCTAGCGTTGCATAGCCAGACCTCCACACATGGTGTAAGCGCTGTGCCAGCTAGTTGCTACCCCTTGGGAGGCTTCTGGGAATATGGCCAGTCAGAAGAAAGTAGGGTTTTAGGGAGGTGAGGCCTTACAGAGACCGGAGCTAAAACTGAGTGTTCAGACAGAGGGTGAATAGAGGTGCTGAAGCAATGGACAGCATGAGAAAGATAATGTGTTTTGTGAACATTGAGGCATGTAAACATTTTTAGTAGACACCCAAAATAAAAGGATGAACCTGAAACTGAGCATAACATGGCTACTTTAACTGAAGGTATCTAGTGGTGATAGAGGGGGGTCTTGCCTTGTTTCAAATGTCTCCAGCAAGATTGGAATGGGGTACGTTGCAGTTTATGTGGTGTGTATCAAACACCATAGGCCACTGTGACATCTACTTATGTATTTGAACTGAACTATTGTTTAACATCTTAACTGTGATTCCACCCTCAAATGTTCCCAGTGCTAAAGTGTTTAACTTTATTGCCAACTTGTAGCCAACCTGTATACTGTAAGTGGGTCTGTAGATTGTTTTTACCTCTGTTTCCCAACTTCAGGTACCATTAATTATGAGATTATTGATCAGTGTAGTAATGTTGAAACCTTTTTCAATGATGAAACAAAAATATCCACCCTGCTTGTTCTTTGAAGAAGTGTTTAATTTAGTGGTCTTAGTCAGGCTAGTTTGACTAAAGAAAAGATTGACTAATGACTAGGGCTGGAGGATTAATTGAAAAGTAATCAAAACCGAAATTCAGAGCCTCTAACCGACGGAATTTCACCATGTCGGTTATTTTGGTTATTTAATCCTGTTAATATCGTGTGTGTGTGTTCATGCCATACAGTCTACTTTCCCCTTGAAACATGATACCATGGTATCAGCTCCCTTTCTGCCGCTTGCTCTCTCTCATTCGCTCGTCCATTCACTCGCTATGCCAACACATTGCACTGTAGTTAAAAGACCCAACTCTGCTGCTCTTATAACAGCACCTGTCATGTAGATGTATTTTGATGAAAGAGGAGAGGAAGCTAGCAAAGCGTGATTTACCATACTCACACAGTGTGCGGGTGAAAATCATTTGTTCCGCATTGATATTAAATAATAGAGTGAAACTCTGTAATGTGCACGTCAACATTACCTTATTAACATTTAGATAATGGATTTGTGAAATCTGTGAATCAAAAAAAATAATAAACTCAGCTTTTCGCATGTTATCAGTAGTTGTTCATCATCGTCTATGCACTATATGACTGCATTGGAGGAGAAATGTGAAGGCGTCTGTATATACCTTACTTACCTCATATGTAAAATATTTATCTCAAATCAGTTTGCCGGTAAAATAGCAGTTCTCTCTCTCCTTCTACCTCCTCCATTCTGGTCTATTGTCCGGAACAGTCAGGGGGTTTCTACAGTGCAGAGGATGCAGACTCTGTCCCAGTATCGGGAGGGCCTGAAAAGCGTGAAGGGGCTTTCTGCGTTTGGACAGCCTCAGAAGTTCGGGAGCTGTTGCCAGATGTAGTGGAGGACGCCACTGGCTCTACCACGCAAGCAGACATCTTCATGCACCACTATGGGGTGAAGCTTCAAGGCAATGTAGCTCCAGAAAAGGTACTTGGGTGGTTGGATAGAGGGAAAGACAAAAGTAGAAAAACTACGATTAATAAAATTCAGAACAACTAGGCACAGATGTAGTGCTTATGTGGACAAATTAATCAGAAAGCCATGAAAATAATCATGTAGATTGAAGAGAAAATGCAGACTGTTTAATCAGTTGTTTTATTTTATTCACTTTGAGGTTTTAAAGCTGGTCCATTAAGGCATTAACATGACATCTGTTGCAGTCGGTATGAATTCATTTCTGTGAACGCCCTATTATCCCCTGTTCTGTATGTTGCCAGGACCCCCACGGGGAGCTGCAGGGCCAGAATGTGCTGATCGTGCGTTATTCCGTGGAGTTAACGGCTGCTCACTTTGGCATCAGTGTTGAGAAAGCCAATGAGCTCCTGGCCTCCGCCAGAGCCAAAATGGCAGAAGTGAGGAGGAGGCGGCCACGCCCACATCTGGACACCAAGATGTTGGCCTCCTGGAATGGTAAAGTAGACATGTTTACACATGTGTACAAAAATAGAACTAGTGTCATCATCATCTCATGCAAGTGAAAGTGAGAGTACTGCATCTTAATGTTCCAGTTGACTTAGTGGTAGACAAAATTGACAAATGATTGCTGAATGATTGATTTTTAATGAGGCAGTTGAATTATGTTATTAATCACCATGTCACTATAATGAAAGGGAAAGTGCAGACTGGTTTACTGCACTCATTCTTAAGCGCAGTGTCCATTGCAGCGTGAACCTACAGCGCTCTCGCTCTCAGATTTAAAAAAAAATCCCCTTTCTTGTTAGTCCAAACGTCAAGTCATTTTTATTTATATAGCCCAAAATCACACATTTACTATTTATTCACAACACGCTTCATGCGGAGTGACAACAACACTTCCTGTTTGTTTTGTTTTTCCTCAACAAACTACCTCCCAATACACAATACCTTTAAAACTCAGCAGTTATTTGGCCAACGATGTATATATATCCGCTGTCATTCATTTGGTGCCTTTTGCTGTTTGACAGGCGACCCAGAAAGCCTCTAACTATTTTACACTTCCATCTCATGCTCCATGACGAAAAAAATGCAGCTACGTCGTAGGTCCTTCCATCAACGTACATTGAGTTGAAAAGCCTTCCTCTGATGTGTAATTCAAGGTTCAGTGTGTAAGATTTAGTGGCATCTAGCGGTGAGGTTGCGAATTGCAACCAACTTTCCAGTCTACCACTGCGCCCTACCCTTTCAAAGAGCGTAGGACAGCTACGGTGGCTGACACAGCACAAAATGTGTCTCTTCTGAGACAACAGAGAGTGGCCAGTCAAGAAATGAGGTTTCTTTAGGTATGTTTATTAAGAAATTACATTTACTTAATTATAACAGTAAATCCACAGGTTATTGTGACTTGGCCACTGACAGATAACATGGAAAATCCAAGCAAAGAGTCTGAACCACTGTCACTGTTTCAGCACCACAGTCCATTATAAAACACTTAATAGATGAAGTTTAGATGAACATTGACAAGGGAAACGAATTCATTCTCTCTGTGATTATGTGTCCTCGCCAGAACTGTCCGCCAGCAATAATATCTGGCCCGCTGCCAGATTGCGGTGCTTTTGATAGCAGTAAAAATTATAAATAAATAAATACTTTGATAGTGGTGCTGAAATAGATCTGTCACATCAGCAACAGTTACTCACATAATCACTTCCTCTTTAGTGGTTTTGCCTACAAAATAAAACAGTCGCCGCAGAATCCATTTGTTGAAGAGAGGAAAAAAAAATGTCTTGAGGTGGGATTGAACAAGCAACCTTTGAGGTAACAGAACACTATAACAATTGTTTCTAATATTTTGCCTTATAATTTCACCCACCATTTAATGGTTAAAAAAATTGTTCCAATGCAAAACTTACTTGCCGACCCCTGCTCTATATTATTACTACTTCTTCTTCGAACGTATGTATTCAACATAGTGATGAGTGTCTACACTACCTGAATTCTACCAGAAGTAGAACAAGAAGAACATACACTCTGTAGGCTGTTTGTCCGTTTTCAGCTACTGTAGAAACATGACATGGAAGGGGGGACCCGCAGTTATGTAGGTAGAAATGGCTCATTCTAAGGTAATAAAAAATATTACGGTTCACAATGAAAACATATATAAAACATTTCTATAAGCATTTTATAAACAAAAGGTTTTGGCAAAAGTGTGAAATTTCTTAGGGTGTTAATACAGAAACTTTACATAAAAATTCTCATGAAACAGAAACAATGAGTGATCAGATTTTATTGACATGAAATCAAAAATTTGTATTATCCCTAAAAAGCCCAATGAGAGCATTCCTAATGTGAATGTGTTAGAGTCTCATTGGTAATCCTACAAGAGTTAAATTATCTTGTTGATTATATACCATCAAAGAATAAAACAACTAAAGAAAAACCCAACACATTGATAGTGGTCACTTCAGATGTTGGTGTCGCTACCTGCTGAAGTGCTTTACATGTGCTTCTTCTTCTCTAAATCAGAACAAACTACTGCTGACTGCCAAGCAGGGGCATTAGAAGAATTAAAGAAAGGAGGAACTGTTATAGCCCACACAATTTACACACATACACACACACAAATATTCATACAGACATTTATCATTAGCTGTATGAAAATGTGTGTAGATTATTATAGAGGCGCTAGTTGTCCCTTTCTATTAGTGTGATGCCAATTTGGACACCCCTCAACATTGTTTATCCACTCTCAGATGTGATTAATTACAAGAACAAAAAGCACACCACACAAACACACTCTATACAATGACAAAGTTTGCTCCTAGGGCTGGTGTCTCAAGACAGATTGTGTTAGTCAGGTAATGAGGCTCTGCGATCCCGAGAACTTTCCAATTAGATGCAAGACTTCCCTTCTCCTCTCTAATGAAGGAAGCCTTCCATTAATCACCTGTCCTCCGCTGCAGCACTTTGAAGACCGGGCTGTGCACTCGCCAGGCTTTGATACACTACATGAAAGAGGAGTGGAGGGAAAAAGGGGAGGAAGGAATGGATACAGTGAGGGAAGAGAGAAGGAATGAGGGAGAACAAGGAAACTTCAAAAAGCGTGGGAAATAACTAAGCTGGGACTGTGGTGTGGCTAAACAACGGTACCTCCACGAAGGGAGGACATTTTATACCTAATCATCCCACCACTATCACTTGTTCTTTGGTCCCCTCAGGTCTCATGCTCTCGGCCTACGCTCGTGTTGGAGCAGTTCTGGGGGACAGGGCCTTGCTGGAGATGGCGGTGCAGGCTGGCACCTTCCTAAAGGAGCACCTGTGGGATGCTGAGCGGCAGACAATCCTCCGATCCTGTTACAGCGAAGACCAGATGGAGGTGCAACAGATGTAAGAAGAGAGTTTTGATAATGTGGCAGTTGAGATTTAAAGGCCCCAAACCCCTTTTTTCTCAATCATCTTGTCATCATATAAACGATTGGATCGAATACGAAAGCACTGCTTTCTGCTAAAGTTAGAACAGTTTTGGGTATTGCACTGTTAGATTTGAGTGTGTGTGTGTGTGTGTGAGAGAGAGACCAAAGAGGTGGTCCCATAGTGGCTGTATGTTTCAAAAGATGATCTGTCACGGGTCAATTGTGTCCTTAATTCAGTGCATTTCTCCATGCATTTGTTTGTTTCCAGTTTACACGGGAATCGCTGAACTTCCTGTAAATAGTCCGGACCATCCAAAATATGCTTTCATACTAGAAAAGAACCGAACCATGGTTCAGATTGATCCAGACCGAGACTACTCTTTTCGTTGGACCAAATTTTGTCTGTTTAGTCCGGACTGCGGTCCGGCGGATGTTTAACACCTGTAACATACAGGAGTTTCCCAGGAGAAACAACAAAACAGGAGGGAGATGGCCTTGAAAGAGTGGAGAAAGCTGGGAAAAACAGTGTTGGCAGCAGGGTCTGAAATTTTCACTGCCTGCCATTGTGGTAGGTAAATCATTTTTTTGTCTGCTGCTCAGAAATGATATCTGCCACTTTTTAAAACGGATGCACTAAATGAATGAATGAGTTACATTTAGGCATAATTTAATGTAATTTTGTCATTCAGTGTCCAATAAACTGTAGTTATACAAAAACATTACATGCATGTTTGCATGCACAAAGGACCTGTGTCTTTTGGTACAAAACAATCACTCCACCTTACTTAACAAGGTGTGTGGGTTGCATGTGATGCAGGCAAGTAGGCAGATTGCCACAATACGATAACCTTACTACACGTGGCTTTCTGCTCATTTTCTCTCGTCTGCCAAAGTGGCGGATGGCCTGACAATTTTACCTGCCATTACCAACAATTTACCGGTACCAGGTGCTACTTTCAGACCTTATTTGGCAGGTATGCAAGCACTGTTATGTTACACCTACCTGTTAAGCTCTAACAAGTCAGTCACTTGTCTCTTTTTCCTTGATGCCTGAAATAACAATTTAACCCTTTTCTAGCACCGGGACAGTAATGCATTAATATGTACTTAAAGGGACAGTAAGGGATTGTAATCCGATATGCTCTTTGTTAAATTTGTTGAATATTTCCCCACGGTTTGCTAGCTCTCCATTTTGTGTGGGCTCTGACATTGATAGCCGAGAAACAGCCAAAGAGGAAAAGGTCTGGAGAGTAAAATCAGAGAAGAAAGTTGTATGACCAGGGAAGGGCGAAGGCGTATCAAGGTTTATGGGAACAACACACTTAACCCCTAGTTGCTCTGACATATACAGCAATTGTAAACTTTAGATAAAAGAGTAAATGTATAGGCACCGGTGAAACCTCGGCAATTTGAAATTTGGGGGGGCGGAGGTTCTGAGGGAGCACTGAAGGGATGGGTGTATTTTTTGGGGAGTTATATATAATTAATTAAGATTAAAGAAACAAAGTAGCACATTTATGTAAGAGAGAGTTTCAATTTGTACAGGAGCAATAAGCAGTTGTTGTGCTGGACGAGGATGACTAACTGTTTAAACAGGAAACGAGGCTCTTGGGATAAAACTGGTTAGGGCAGGAAACATGTTCACATGTACTGCAGTAACCTGGTTACTGTAAAACTGCATTTACATGCACAGGTCAGTAATGAGATTTCTCTTCTAGCCTCGATCATACTGTATATTTGAAACAAGATTGGCCATATTTTAAGTGGATTATAGATGCCTGTTGAATGATATATGATGTCAGAGCTTTTGAACTGACAGCACATTGAGAGGAGAGGCTCTGTAGCAGGAGAATATGCACTTTATCTTGCTGATTGTATGTGTATGAATTTAGCATAGTACATGCGTACTGATCGACTATGGTGAATTATTTAGAATTACTTATCCTAGTTTTGGTAAAACTAAACACTGCCAAGTAATAAGGCTCCTCCAGCAGAAATGTAGCTGTGTTTAAAAAAAAACAAACAAGATATCTTGTATCCTTTAACCGCATGACAAAAAGGAATCTGAATTTCTCATTTACATGACATTTAAGAAGTCAGGTTACTCCACACAGCCAGCAATTACGTATACTTACAGATCGGCTGGTGGCGGCATTCAATCCGGTAATTAGACTGAGAGTGTTCTTGAAGCCTCAGAACATAAACACACATTCTCACACAAACAAACACACAGTGCCTTGTTGATTGTACACCTCCACTCCAGGTGTCCTCGTTCCTTTGGCCGGCCCTGTGCCCTAGTTACTGTGAATGAGTGAGTGTGAAATACCACCGAATCAGCAGAAAAATGCAGGAGACCCGCAACACGCATGGACAGACACACATGTGCCTATACACTGTGGCCTTGTTCTACGCCCCCCATCTCATTTATAATTGTCCAGTTCAGCATTTATGTCAGCAATGAAAAGGCTTACTTAGGCCCTTTTCTTAAGCCTGGTTTAGTTTTAATATGTGGGTAAATCACATATGGGCCGGGCAGTCATTTGCCAGGAGGAATGGTAGGTGCTGAGACTAACTGGGTTAATAGGCTGTGGAGGTATTGAGGAGCTGATGCCTTAGATTTTCTGTGGCCTGGCCTGGATGATTGAGAGTCTTACTACTTTCTTCAGGGACCAGAGGGAGGCCTGAGAATGGGAATGCTGAGACCAAGATGGTGCTGCAGACGGCTACCTCTGGATTACACTCTTGTAGTGCTTTTTGTGTTTTTGTTTATATACCGGTATTCTGTTTTCTGCCGTCCCTCTCTGGTAACATTTACCAGAGAAAGAGCTCTTAAATATTGGACTTTCAACTTCTCACACTATTCCACCGCTCTTTATTGAATCTGGAACTTTCTCAGAGTTATTAGTTTGAGGAGCAGCAGCTCTGGATTGGTATCTACCGAAGATAAGGCGCACTGGTTGATCCAAGACAGGGTTTTCGCACTGCTCTCACTTCTATCCACCTGGCGAATGTCCACTCTCAGACCAACAAAATTGACCAACTGCTGCTCCTAAACAATCTAACTTGGACTTTGGCAGATCTGCCACCCTCAGTTTTACCGAATCCTGGTTCATCCAGCACATCCCAGACAGCGCACTGTACCTGCCGGGATTTAATCCTTCTCCTTATGTTCAACTATGGTATGAAACTATTGGAGGACTATGGAAGTGAAGACCCTGGTATTTATACACTCGGCATCGGCCTTAATATTTTGTTAAAGCTTTTTAAAATATTGAAAAAGATGTTTTAAAAATTTAAGACATTGAATACAGCTTTTAAAACACTGATCAGTCATCAAGAAAATCTTTTACTGTGATTTGTGCTTGTGTAGTTTTTGAACCAGGGACCGATTCACGATACACCAGCAGCACCCACACAACCCACACCTAATGTAAACAAGACTACTGAACAGTATTACAATAACTTTAGTAAAACAGAGCAAGAGGAAGGTGTTGCTCTCAGGAGGCTAGAAAGAGCACATACTGGCACAGTGGTATACCTGTGCAGTGGAAATCTTTTTATACTGTTAGTATGTTAATATAATAATTATTTGATTTACTATATGCATTATTATGTTATTTTATACTGTTAGTATGTTAATATAATAATTATTTGATTTACTAGATGCATTATTATGTTATTTTATGTAATAGTACACTATAGCTCACCACTAGTTTCAGAAACAGCAGTTTCATGTTTGTGAGTTGTTTTCATGAATTAAATCCTTGTGCAAGGAAAATGGCCTATATTGGTCACTCAATTTGTTAATGCTACTATCTCATCAATAATCAGAACCATGCAGAAGTTCAACATTTGAAACTTTACAGTAGCACGTCAAACTATTTTTATGTCCCGCCCCATCCAGGCTGTGATTGGTCAGTTGATGAAAAGTGAAATTCATCAATTCTATGAAAGGTTGAACATTTTTCAACAAAAGGCCACACCTGATATAACTGAATATCCAGCTAGCAAAACCCACAACCTCCTTATTTTCTCCCTACTTTCTTCTGTCTCACCGCTCCAGCTGCTGACTTCGCATCTCTGTCTTTGTTTATGTAACAAGCTGCCCAAGTCAGCGTTGCGTTGGTTGTAGTTTCGGTAGTTACTCGCACATTGTGCTCGTAGATCATTTCTCCGGTTCGCACTTATCCATTTTTAGGGGCATATGCGAGCAAAATGGTCACACTGTAGAGCCCTGATAAACAAAGGTTGGTGCATAGATGTCACAGTATTGAAGAAATCATGCAGCCCTCACTTAGAGACCTTATTCTTGAACAGTAAACCTTTTTATTCACCGCAGGAGTTTTCCTCGTTTGCTCTGGTCTACATTCCACCTCAGGCCTGTGTTAGTGAGGCGTTACTACATCTGGCCGCCCAGATAACTATCGTGGAGAAAAGACATCCAGACTCCCTGCTCATTGTTCTCGGGGACTTACAGAGCAAACCTGAGCCATGAACTTCCAAAGTACAGACAGCATATGAAGTGTCCCACCAAGGACACTAACACACTGGACCACTGCTACACTACATTAAAGGACGCCTATCTCTTTGTTCCCCGTGCAGCCTTAGGACTCTCTGATCACTGTCTGGTTCATCTTATCCCAACATACAGGCAGAAATTTAAATCTGATAAACCTGTTGTAAAGAGTGTGAAAAGATGGACCAATGAGTCAAAGCTGGAGTTACAGGCCTGCTTTGACTGCACTGACTGGAGTGTTTTTGAGGCTGCAGCCACTGACCTGGACGAACTAATTGACAGTGACATCCTACATCAGCTTTTGTGAGGACATGTGTGTGTGCCGACTAAAACCTTCCGCACATACAACAACCAAACACCCTGGTTCACAGCGAAACTCAGGCAGCTTCGTCAGACCGAAGAGGAGGTCTTCAGATGTGGGGACAGAGACCTGTATGACCAGGCCAGGAACACGCTGACTAAAGAGATCAAAGCAGCTAAGAGGAGCTACGCTGAAAAGCTAGAAAACAGCTTCACAGCCAGCGACCCTGCGTCAGTGTGGAAAGGCCTGCGGATACTCACTAACAACAGGAGACCATCCCCCAACACTGCTGGTACTCAACAACTGGCTGACAAGCTGAATGGTTTCTGCTGTTGGTTTGAGAAGCCCACAGTCATACCTCTCCCCCATTCCAACTCCAACTTCAAACATTCACCTTCCCCCACTGCCACGCTCTCACCCCCCCTCTCCGACCCCTCACCTGCACTCATGATCTGTGAAGAGGATATGTGCCAGCTCTTCTAGAGGCACAAGATCAGGAAGGCTCCTGGCCCAGACAGTGTGTCTCCATCCTGCCTGAAAATCTGTGCAGACCAGCTGGCCCCCATCTTCACACAGATCTTCAACAGATCGCTGGAGCTGTGTTAAGTTCCCTCATGCATCAAACGCATTAAATGCCTGTCGCCCTGACATCTGTTGTCATGAAGTCCTTTGAAAGACTGATGTTGGCCCACCTGAAGGACATTACAGGCGCCTTGCTAGACCCCCCTTAAGTTTGCCTACAGGGCTAACAGGTCAGTGGATGATGCAGTGAACTTGGGACTACATTACATCCTGCAACACCTCGACTCTCTAGGGACATATGCTCTCCCCCTTGCTCTTCTCCCTCTACACCAACGACTGCACCTCAGAAGACCCATCTGTCAAACTCCAAACAAAAACAGTCAAACAAAAAATCTTCGCTGACAACACAACGGTCATCGTCCCTGATCCGGGATGATGATGAGTCTGCCTACAGATGGGGAGGTCAGCTGGCTCTCTGGTGCAGTCAGAACAACCTGAAGCTTATCATGCTCAAAAGTATGGAGATGATCGTGGACTTCAGGAGGAGCGCCCCCTTGCTCTACATGAAGAGAAGGCTGAAACATGAGAGCACAGACTGTCCGTAGGAGGGTTCATGAGATTTTGTTGGCGAGGAAACACCTCGGTGAGGACATTGCCATGTTACAGGAAAGGCATTTCCCTCAATTAGAACTAAGGGATCTCGCCCAAATCATGATGAGGTGCTCCAGACCAAAAATACATCAAACACGTGTTCTAGTGCTCGGCGAATGATACTCAAGGAAGACTAAAAGTGCATTTGTTAGGCAACTTTTTTATCCACGGATTAATACAGACCTGGTGCACTATTTAATATTCACAGCACCACGAGGTTGCATGTTGGACTGAGTCATAAGAAACTACAGTTTGTGTGTTATTTTATATATAATGGCACAGCATAATAGTTTACCAGTTCATTCTGTAGCACGAGCAACCATATTCTCTAACATAAAGGTCGCTGCTGTTGTAAAAATGATGGGAGTCATGTGTTTACGTGACCCATATCGCCCCAGAGGTTTTTCCCTCTACGGCTTATTCAGGGGGAATTGAAGTAACTAGTGTGTGAGTGATGAGAATCATTATGAAGCTATTATTATAAAACTGTCTCTGAGTGCTATGATACGGGAGAATGACAAGGTGTTTTATCTTTGCTCTCAGGGAAATGACTCATTTAACACACACTGTTGAAGGTGTGAGTGAACAGGCTGTTGAGTATTACTGAAAGGCTTTTACATTTTTGTGTTTATGTGTCAGCGAGGCCCTCTTGAGGATTTGTCTTAAATTGGCATCCCTGTGGATGGAGTCACATCAGCCAGGTGACGCTGTGTGAGATGAAGGGAAGTACAGGTACAAATTACCAAAGTTGTTTTACAATAAGTAGAGTACCAAGAGTAGCAACGTTTCGATCTTGTAAAAAAAAAAGCTCACAACCTCTGAAACTGACCTTAATAAAGTTTACAGCTTATTTGTAACCTGTTCCTTGCCCCATCTGATAGACTGACTGTAGCGATGTGTTGTAATGTCAGATCAGCAGTTACTTTGGTAACAATTAGAATTTAGTTATTGTACAAATTGTATAATGAAAATAAGAGCCATGTTGTAATAAATCCAATTTTTTTCTTTAAGATGACATCTTTTGTCACCATAAATAACAATCATCTTAAACATTGTTACTGGAACCATCTGACATTTCCTCTGCTACCACCACCAGGTTGACATTTATAGTTTTGAGTGAACAGTTTCAACAACTATGGGATGGATTGCAATTAAATGTTGGTGCATGCATTAACGTTCCCCACAGGTGATCCCTTAGCTCAGTTTTGGACCGTCTCATTTACTGCTTGGGAGACTGATACCTCCCATAGAGAAGCTTAGAGAAACAGCTGCTCTTTATCAGAAGTGGAGAAGTTAACCAGTCTTGCATTTGCCAAACCAACCAGTAAGTCCCCATCCTTTTTAGTTGTTCCCTTTTATTAACACTTCTAAAAATGTATAAGTCGCACCTTGGCTAGTCGTGGTTTGTTTTTGAGTGTGAAACAGGCTGATTGTTGCACATTGTGGCAACCACTTGGGGCCACAAGGTATTTTCTGCTTTCCAACCAGAAGATGGACAGTAAGGAGCCCCTTAAGGCCAATTTACACTTCTGTGTCGAGTCTACGCCGTAGTCGACGGTATGGGCTATGGCCATTGTATGCATTTATACTTGTTCTTTGGTGTCAGCATTGCTCTGCAATTACACCGCCAAAACACTAGTTGTCGGTCGGGTTTCTATGTTCCACTGAGTTGACTTTCTCCTCCTTTTTGGTGAAGTTGAACAGCAGAGAGAAGGCATTGGATGTATGTATGCTGGATGGTAACCCTTGAACCGGTTGAGGCAGAAGGAGGACAAGCCTTAAATGCGATGCTACCATTTATGTTTATGTGACGTTATTTCAAGCAGGTTGTTTCAGTTTTACAAATGAAAAGACTTTGAGGATGAAGTCTAACTTGATTGGTTTGTCAAATGCAGTTCTGGTTCACTTTCCACCTCTGGTAAAGAGTTCCTCACAGTTGCAACCTTCCTTCTCTATTGATCTATCAGTGGAGCTTATGATCCCCTGTCTGTTTATCCTGCGCTATGGTCAGGTCAAAATAGCTACAGACACTTTCTCTTTTCCTAAGTCTTAGCTTGTTTAAAACGTGTCATATTTTCAAATACAAAAGACATTCCCCCACTTTGGATTGCCATTAAATTAACCTTGTCCTGTCCACTGCAAGAGTCCCCTTTCACTTTATGAGTCAACCCTTGTCTGTTTGTCTGGGAAGGCCCAGATATGGCTCCTTACCTCCCCATGACCTCTCAAAGTCCTCGTGCACTTCATCTTCTCCAAACTCGCCGCCTCCTGTTTTCAGCCTCTTGACCTCACCAGCCACCCGCCACCAGCCTTGTCTGACGCAGCACTATCTGGCTTCGTGTCATCGTCCGTCCCCCTGCACTCACCCAGATGGGGTGCCATTGTGGGAATTAGGAGAAAGAGGACAGAGGGAGAGACAGGTGAAGGGAGAGGTGGCACAATGATGCGAGAGGCAGGTCTAACTGCAGTCAGATTTGTCTAATTACTGCACCGCTTCACTTGAAACTTCAAAGACTGTGTGTACACAGATGTTGGTGCACATATACATGTCTGTGATGCTGTGTCTGATTGTACTCAGCCCACTATGTGTATGTTGATGTAGCCCCGTGTTGTCAGAAATTCCTGCAGGCTTTTGATAGTCTTATCTTTCAGCCAGTTCTTCTGAGTTTCTATACTGTCGAAACTGTAGAAACCATAGCTTGATCTTCTTCAGGTATTATAAACAAGCATTTGGAATGTAAAAGGTGAGGGGGAAAACAAGAAGAAGCTGAACTAGTTCACCATCAGTAAGCCATCTCAACACTTCTCGCACAGATCTGTCAAAAATTCTTAATGAAAACTGTCCTCATTCTCGCTCTTCTCCCACTTCTGTGATTTTCATTTCCTTTCTCCCGCTGTATTCTCCAGATCTCCGCCTATCTCTGGCTTCCTGGATGACTATGCCTTCATCATCTGTGGCTTGCTGGACCTGTACGAGGCCACGCTGCAGACCGAGTGGTTGCAGTGGGCCGAGGAGCTGCAGCTCAGGCAGGACGAGCTGTTCTTGGATGACCAGGGTGGAGGCTACTTCTGCAGCGATCCCAGTGACAGCACTGTACTGCTGCAACTCAAAGAGGGTGAGGGATAGATGCATTGATATGAGTAGATGTCACACTAATGATGTCAACGACTAAAGCTGGCCTTGTGTGAGACTGCAATTTTTTCTTGCTTGCCTGCACCATAACAGCATTAAATTTTGGCACTCAGCCCTTTGTGTGACGGACACTGACGTCATGATGAGGCCTGATGCATACCTGACAGAGTTAGCCATCATTTTTACATAGTTTTATATCATCATTCTTCAATCCCCTTTATAAGTTACAGGTCAAACTTAGAATGTATGCAGCACCACCAGTGTTCCCCATTAATTAATGAGACCATGGCAGCCCGCCACAGTCTATTTTGTTCAGCCATAGTTTCAAAATGAACCGAAAATTTACATTAAAGACTTTGTGTTTTGCGCCGCTGCTTTAAACTCATGCGCTCACACACTTTTGGCATCCGACTTGAGACAACCACTTTTCTTTTGAGGTAATTACGGGAACGTTAAGTAAGTGTTTGAACTGCATGTTTCCACTGTCTCTCGTTTGTGAGAACGAGATCATGCTAGGCACTAAATTTGGAGTCCACACGTATTAGAGACTTTATGGGAAATGCAGGTAAAAGGAGCAGAGCGAGCTGACAGGCGGGTTAGCAACTTTATTCTGTCATTTTCTCACTTTGTAACAAGTGTTACAGTATGAGAGTCTTACCTAAAGAGAGGCTATTAAGTTTTGATTGTACGATATACATCACACAATATAATTTATCAAATTGCGTGAATGTAGTGTGAAGATGCACATGTGACAAAGTCACCACAACATATACAGTATGGAAATAAGATTAATTGGATTATATTCACAGAAAGTATAAAACATGTTGTTGTGTCCATTAAAAGTAAAATAAAATGGAAATAACTTACAAATAATTGTTTGATTTGTGGTTGCTGGAAAAACATTAAATAAGTCAGTTGACTTTTTTGCTGTTTTATCACCATTTCTATCTAGTATAGGATCAAATTCTTTACTAGGGTACAAACTTGTTCGTGGAAGTGCAAAGTTCTTCATAGATCTAGCCTCTTAATTTGCTTTTAAAATGTGCACCAAATTAATGCACTTAACTTTAATATGTACAAATTTGTCTTCCGGGGGAGGCACACCCCTGGACCCTCCGAGAGGATTGATGTCCACCTACCATAGTCAACAAAATCCTGTGGGAAACACTGGCACCACCTTGAAAGATGTGAGTGCCTGGAGTTTAAGGGAAGTGTGGTTGGATTCTATCAGTCTTTACTTCAACAAATGTTACATATTCATACAAAATAATTTTTTCTGTTACTGTAATCCTGCACAAATTTCACATGATATTGGTATTCTTGTGTTATTAAATTTGGCAGGAAGTCTTACATTATTGGCGTTTTGTCGTGGTGTTAATTAAGGTTTTAATAGGAGTTGCCAGTTGGTGATGATTAAATCACACATCACGATCATATGAAAAGTCATAATCAATATGTCAACAAGACAAAGACTCTACATCCACGCAAGTGACTCTCTGAGGCTGTACTGTACACAACGGTGCTTTGAGTCACCATGTTAACATGCGCACAATAGCAAAGCTAAAATGCATATATTTAGCAAGTATAATGTTTGCCATGTTCACGTCTCACTTTAGCATGTGAGCATGCTGATATTTGCTAATTAGCTCTAAACAGAAAGGACAGCAGAGGATGATGGGGATGTCATTAGCTATCTAAGGATTCGGATACATTAAGATATGGACCTAATGATGATGGTAGATTTAGGGACCTCTACGAGGAAAAGTCAGAGGACCATCCTGTGTGGATCAAGAATGTCAGTACAAAATACATCCAACACTTAAGATATTTCTGTCTGGACCAAAGTGTGACAGACCGACATTACCATCCAGCTGTAGAAAATAAATAAGGTTTTGATGTTGCTGCTGCTGCTGGCTCTAATGGTTAAGAGATGCAGGGAACGATTGATGGACAGGTGAAGGATTAATAGTGCTACTGCAGTATACCTCTGTGGCTTGGACAAGTTCAAGGATGGATAGCTCAGGCTGATGAATAAACACAGGGCTTGAGCCCTGAGACAGATTGTTAATACCAACACAATGCCACAGTTTGATCCAGGTGATTGGTAGGAACAAAAGAAGCATGAATGGATGGCTGTGATTTATTTGCACAAAAAAAAATGTTAATTGATGGGTGTAACCACTCATCCATTCACCCATCTCTTTTCTCTTCTGTCTATATACTTCTTTCACCTTATCGATTGATGAGAGCTTAACAAGACGGAAGCTCTTGCTGTAATATCGCTGCCAGTTTCACTCCATTGGTACACTTTAACCACAGGAGAGGAGGTAGGCAAGAATGGATGGATGGATAGATAGGTAGGTAGATGATAAAAGACAAGAGCAGAGGAATATTCACCTCCCCTGTCTACCTTCAGTGAAGTGCAACCGTCACTCACTCAAGCTGAACTTCTCTGCCATGAAAGCACTCAAAGACTGATGCCCTGATTCTTCAGCTACTTTGATCACCAGACCTGTGAAATCTGTCTCCATTCTGTCTCTTAGTCCATCTGCCTTTGACATATTCAAACAGCCAATGTATAGTGGGAATATGAAATCCACTTTCTGCCTCTGCCTCTTCTTATCTCACGTACATCTTAACTTCCTCCTGAATCTTTTTTTATTTCTTGTATTACTCAGCGCGTTTTCCTTCTTTGTGGCTCTGACACCTCGACTTTCAGCTCAGATGGGGTGGTGATGGGACAGTGGTTAAGTGGATAGGACACACGCCTTTGGTGTGGAAGACCCACGTTCAATTCACACTACGACACATTCACCCCTAGCAGGGTTAGGGTAACATTGGCATAAAATATAATAACTAAACAGACAACTGGATGTAGAACATGTTTTCAGTTCCAGATTTCATGTAAAATGCCATACGCATTGTTTTCCAGCAAAATCATGGATGTTCAATTTTGTAGAGGCTTTCTAAATTATTTATACAAAAGTTTAAAAAAGCCACATGGGTCCTTTGTAATCATTAACAAAAACACTGGATTGTTACCCAAGTATAATTTCTAGCCACATCAACAGTACGGCTCAGTCGATGGCAATATCTATTGGACTGTTTTCCACTTCTTTGGTCCAGACTGAAATCCGTTTAAATCTAGTTAAATGTCTCAACAGCTGTTGGATTGACTGGATTGACATTCAATTTGGTACCTGACATTCATGTTCTCCTCAGGATGAATTGTAAAAACGTCAGTGATTCCTTAACCTTTCCTCCAGCTAAAACTAAAATCTTTCCCATCAGCCTCAGCTATAGTTTGTGTTTAGCGCTAATTAGCAAATGTAAGCATGCTAACACACTAAACTAAGGTAAACATTATACCTGTTAAACGTCAACACGTTAGCATGTTGACATTAGCATGTCAGTGTTTCCCACAGGTTGAGAATATAATTGTGATGGTAAGTGGCGCGGCATGTGATATGAAAATAATTTTTTCAATATATTAACAAACAAAACACAGACTTTAACTTAGCATTTTGATGGACATGTCAAAATAAATAACTATTTACATAATAAAATACATTTCAAAATCTTTCAACAGATGAAAACACAAACTTAGCTAGGTCAGTTTTGACCTGAAATAGGAACAAATTTGCATAACCATTTTGAAAGACAGCAGAAAATTCACGCATTGTGCTCTCTTGCATGGTTGAAAACCCACTTACCCTGCTCATTGCTGAGAGGTGCCGCTCACGGTTCACGCTGGAGATGGGGATGAGTAGGGCTGCAGACAGATCAGCCTCAAACAGGGAAGATGTCTGCCCACTCCTTGAATTCACTGGCCAAATGTGGCAAGATCTCTGCTTTGTTTGTTTTTTTTGCCCTACCAGGACAGAAAAGAGTAGAAAACAAAATACAGAATCATAAAATATGAGGTAATGATGCCAATATTAGCATGGCATCCTGCTTTACAAACTGAATCATTTTTTATTTTGCTACAGTACAGTTAGCTAAGTATTATCAAACTTATTTTTATAGGATTATAACATTATATCCTATAGGTTATACCACAGTATAACCTTGAATGCTCCCGGAATAACATGTTGCTTGAATGACATCCATCCTTGGACAACTGTGGTATCCTGTCTATGGAGGAATTTCCTGTTGAGGGTCTACAGGTGAGCAATGTTGGCTGCGTCATCCAAAGTAGGTGTCTGTTGCGCAAGGACTTGTAGGCCCCAAGAATGTGGAGATTCTGCTCTCAAGATTGCGTTCCAGGCTGATGATGTAGGAGGACATACAGCGATGGACACAAATACATTTGTCAGCAAACAAAGGAATTCCTTAAAAGTTCTGGTTAATTTTGCATCCATTTACATCTCTAAGGAATCTGGTCCACATCTCCTCCTGAGGCTGCAAAAAACAGCCATCCGGGGATCACATGGTATTTATGACAGAATTATCCTAAAAAATGCACCTGGGAAATACCTGCTTTTATCTGCTCTCAGATAATTGACGTCTGTTGGTGGATCACCTTGGATAGCTGTGCAAGGTGGGGCAAAACACAAGTTTGAAGATAAAGGACAGCAACAAGTCTGTAGGAGGCACAAAATGTGTACAGCCAGACAATTCTGCGTCTTGTTTGGGGAAAAGAAATTAGAATTTGGATTTTATCTACCTGGGTGGGTCTTTATCTACTCGTGCTGTGTATGGTACATGATGCATTTAGCTCAGTACTGCCGCACAGAGCAGCTAACATCGCTGTAGAGCCTGATTAATGCTGTTGAGGCTTTTTTAATGCTTTTTTTTAGGCGGACATTTTACAGTCAAAACAGGCAGCCAGTCCCCTCCTTCAACTGAGAAGCTGACACCTTGTAGACATTCAGACATTTACCTTTGATCTGTCAGACCAGAAGTGTGGATCTACTCGTCGCCTGTTTCTTTTTGTTTTTGCTCTTGAGCTACTCGTTCTGACAGCAACCATTTAGTTTAATGGCTTGCTTTTCCCACTTGTATTTATATTCTTATTCTCTTGTCATCTCTACTAGAGTAATATTTTCTCATAATACATTATGTGCTTTCAGTAGGCTAGTCTCATACAGTGTCTCTTTTCTTACCATTACAGGATCTTTTTTATTTTTTATTCTGGTTTGTGTAATGTGATTCATTTATTCAGTGTGCAGTTGATCTCCAGAGGTTGATGGGCGGGGTAACAGGGAAAAAGCCAATAGTGATTCTTGTTGAGAACGGTTGACAGATCAGAGACGATGGTCGCATGTGAGCTTGTGCACGCGGGAGTGCCTGTCCCTGCGCGCCGTCACACCTGCATCTGTGTGTGTTTATCGGAGCTGACGTGCGAGAGGTTTTTCATCTGAGAGGATTGACTGTGCCATTAGTGACGCTACAGCCGCTGCAGTGTGGACGCCTGTCCCAGAAGCGTGGCCTGTCACCGCAAGACGGATTACCCCACCACACTGCCACTCTCCATTTTACAGACCTGCCAGTCTCCTGTGTGTGTGTTTTGTTTTTTAAGGAGTAAGTTTAAAATGATATTATCAGATCAATCATCTGTGTTTAAAATCATGTTTGCCTCTTTTGGCTGGGATCTTCATATGTATTCCCACTTGACAAAAGTCAAAGTGTAAGTGGTAAACAAATAAAATAATAAAAATTTTAAAAAAGGTTATACAGTATCTCACAAAAATGAGTACACCCCTCACATTTTTGTAAAAAATTGGTTATATCTTTTCATGTGACAACACTGAAGAAATGACACTTTGCTGCAATGTAAAGTAGTGAGTGTACAGCTTGTATAACAGTGTAAATTTGCTGTCCCCTCAAAATAACACATCACACAGCCATTAATGTCTAAACTGCTGGCAACAAAAGTGAGTACACCCCTAAGTGAAAATGTCCAAATGGGGCCCAAAGTGTCAATATTTTGTGTGGCCACCATTATTTTCCAGCACTGCCTTAACCCTCTTGGGCATGGAGTTCACCAGAGCTTCACAGGTTGCCACTGGAGTCCTCTTCCACTCCTCCATGATGACATCATAGAGCTGGTGGATGTTAGAGGCCGTGCGCTCCTCCACCTTCTGTTTGAGGATGCTCCACAGATGCTCAATAGAGTTTAGGTCTTGAGACATGCTTGGCCAGTCCATCACCTTTACCCTCAGCTTCTTTAGCCAGGCAGTGGTCGTCTTGGAGGTGTGTTTGGGGTCGTTATCATGTTGGAATACTGGCCTGCGGCCCAGTCTCTGAAGGGAGGGGATCATGCTCTGCTTCAGTATGTCACAGTACATTTTGGCATTCATGGTTCCCTCAATGAGCTGTAGCTCCCCAGTGCCGGCAGCACTCATGCAGCCCCAGACCAGGACACTCCCACCACCATGCTTGACTGTAGGCAAGACGCACTTGTCTTTTTTACTCCTCACCTGGTTGCCGCCACACACGTTTGACACGATCTGAATCAAGTTTATCTTGGTCTCATCAGACCACCGGACATGGTTCCAGTAATCCATGTCCTTAGTCTGCTTGTCTTCAGCAAACTGTTTGCGGGCTTTCTTGTGCATCATCTTTAGAAGAGGCTTCCTTCTAGGACCATTTTGACGCAGTGTGGGGCGTATGGTCTGAGCACTGACAGGCTGACCCCCCACCCCTTCAACCTCTGCAGTAATGCTGGCGGCACTCATACCTCTATTTCCCAAAGAAAACCTCTGGATATGACACTGAGCATGTACACTCAAATTTGGTCGACCATGGCGAGGCCTGTTCTGAGTGGAACCTGTCCTGTTGAACCGCTGTATGGCTCAGTTTCTTGGCAATCTTCTTATTATAATAATAATAATAATAATAATAATAATCTTTATTTGTAGAGCACTTTTCAAAAACAAGTTACAAAGTGCTTTAACAAGTGTAAAGACAATAATACCCAAAAAAGTTATAGCCTAGGCCATCTTTATGTAGAGCAACAATTCTTTTTTTCAGATCCTCAGGTCTTTGCCATGAGGTGCCATGTTGAACTTCCAGTAACCAGTATGAGGGAGTGTGAGAGCGATAACACCAAATTTAACACACCTGCTCCCCATTACACCTGAGACCTTGTAACACTAACGAGTCAGACACCGGGGAGGGAAAATGGCTAATGGGGCCCAATTTTGACATTTTCACTTAGAGGTGTCCTCACTTTTGTTGCTGGCTGTGTGCTGTGTTATTTTGAGGGGACAGCAAATTTACACTATTATACAAGCTGTAGACACAATGGGAAACAATTAAATTAATTATAATTTCTTTAAACTATTTATATTAAAACAATTTTTATGAAATGTTATTCATCATTCATTTTCATAAAAACTAAATTTTATTGGGTATTTTATTTCATTATAACAATTTTATTTCAAAATCCTATAATTTCCTTATCATGAAACTAAAAAGGGTGTGTGTGTGTGTGTGTGTGTGTGTGTGTGTGTGTGTGTGTGTGTGTGTGTGTGTGTGTGTGTGTGTGTGTGTGTGTGTGTGTGTTTCTGGGCTATTCTGTCATTGCTTTGTGTGATTTTCCTGAGTCTGTTTTGTCACGGTTGTGTATGTATGTGACCTCTTTCCTTGGGGCTCTTTAAGAAGAGAGAAGTGTATAAAGCGGAGAGACTCGCTTCCTCCACCTATGTGTGTATTTACTGTATGTGTGTGTGTGCTGAAGTTTCCTCAGGGAGAGCTGAAACATATTGCAGGGTAAAATCTAATTATTTCTGCAGTTCAGTCACGCGTAGGCGTTCACGTGCATCTATCTGTGATTGTACATTCAAGCTTGTCATACAAAATATAAAATGATTATACAGTGTGTAGTAGTGGTTTGTATGTGTGTCTTTGCTATTTTTAGTTTTTGACTTAAAAGTGGTTTGTGTCAGCTACCAACTCAAAACTCTTTCTTGTTACACACACACACATTCACAGACACCAGAGCATTGCTGAGAAACAGACATAGCGAGGTCATGGGTTATGAGAAGCTCACCTCAAGGCTCTCACTGGATGTTGATAAGAGATAAGGACCAATCACTTAACAGGGCTCAGTCATGAGGTCATCTGTTAGTCCCATCACATCACACCACGCTTTGAGACTCTGGGATGGTTGCACTGGAGGGAAGTTTTGGGAAAGTATAGAGTCTTAATGGCTTAATCTTTTCTGTTAGCTTGACAACAGAAAGTCTATGTTGTGATGTTTACCATATGTTTTATTTACCATATTTATGTATCATGACGCAGACGAGGCATAATATATGTTGTACATCCATCCTATTTAACACATACATTCTTTTTGACTCTGTAGACAAAGTTGCTTTTTTAAATGTTTTGCCTCTTTGTGAAGGTGTAAGAATCTGTCCATTTCATTGATATAAAGTGGAACAATAGTGTGCAGTTGCTTTCTGTGTGGGTGTTCTGTATCGGTACAGAGCTGAAAAGGGCTGGAGAAGAAAGGCCACAAACATTCTGTATATTGAGTTGAGTTCATATGTGTTTTCTCTGGCATAAAGCAGATATAGCCCAAAGGCAAATGGGTTAAACAGTGTAATGATTAAGATAATATCTGCATGCATCAACATTGTGAAACCTGCTACATTCACTATTGTTTGAAGCACACAATATTGCCATCCTAAAGGCTGTAAACTGTCAAAGCCTTCTAAAAAGTGTTTTGTGTCTTTGTGTGTGTGTGTGTCTGTCAGATCAGGACGGAGCTGAGCCCAGCGCTAATTCAGTGTCTGCGTCCAATCTCCTGCGTCTTTCCCACTACACTGGGAGACAGGAGTGGCTCCAGAGGTCCCAACAGCTGCTGGCAGCCTTCTCTGACCGTCTCACCAGGGTCCCCATAGCACTGCCTGAAATGACCCGGGCTCTGATGGCACAGCACTACACACTTAAACAGGTTATTCTTACATCCACATGCACACACATACGCTCACACAGCGGTTGCATGCTAGTTTGTATTTGTCTACTTATTCACTTTTTATCTTTCTTAACAAATTTGAAGATTCTGCTCTGAGGTACACGGGGATCAAACAAAAGGTTTTAACCAGTGGTACAAATGACTGGGACAACCGAGCAACCTTTATTCCTATTCCCTGGCTTGGTGAACCTTCAAGGCCAGCTCAGCTTTGGGAGTGGGTGTTTACCCGGCTTTGCCGGCATGCCTGACAAATTGTGCGAACACAATAGACATTTCAATTAGCAACAAGAACGGAACCAAACAATACGCAGCAACTTAACAAAAGCTGAGCAAGCGGCTGGTAAAACAATGAACATCCCTATATTGGCTCTGCTGACTCACCGCTATTATCACCATTACCATGCACTGAAGATAGAATTCATCAGTGTAAGTAAGCTAGACTGCTACAGCTGCCCACAGTGCTACAGAGGACTATGTTTCTTTAACAGTAAGACCATTAGACATTTTCAGTAAGTAAATGTGTAGATAAAAATTTCTGATTCTTATGTCATTGCTGCAACTACAACATTTTCAGTGTTGATAAGGAAATATTTATAATCAACCAAATAATTCCTCTGATCTATAAGGATTAAATATTACAAGCAGGAAGAGAACACAAATCCTCATGAAGCGTATCCTCCAAGTGTATGGTATTTTTACTGCTATTTTCAGTCTTCCTATACAATTCAGAGCAGATCTAACAAATGAAGAATTATTTAAAAATCATACATTTTCTGGATTTTTGTTTTAGATTCCGTCTCTCACAGTTTAAGTGTACCTATGATAAAAATTACATGCTTTGTAAGTAGGAAAACCTGCAAAATCAGCAGTGTATCAAATACTTGTTCTCCCCATTGTATATGGCTCCATCTGGCTCTGTATGTCGTAAAACGGAGCTGTTGGTAGAAAAAGCAGTGCAAAACAGAGCGTTCAGAACAGGAGGGAATCTGAGGTTTTTGCTCACAGGAATTTCTTTTAAATACTTTAACCTCGTTATTTGAAGCTTTGGCCATGTTTAACGTGAACATCCAATGTTGTAACATTGTAGATAAGTCATAAAATATGGAAAAGCATAAGAGGTCTCCTTTAATATCCACTTAATCCCTGGACACACTGACTGTGAAGCTCTTTTCCCCCTCTTTTCTAACAGCCTTTGTGCATTTCATGGGCTATTTAAGTTGTTCAGCCTCAGTAATATAATCGGTTTTGAAGTATGAACACCCTCATTTAGCCTCAAAGTAGCATACTAGCAAATCAAAGCAGGAGTTACCTCGAAGTTTCCCGGTCACCCTAAGAAAACCTTTGACATGAAGGCTGTTCAATCAAAGGCACAGAGAAAGAAATAATGGGAGTAGAAACAGGGAGGGGAGGGGGATAGTTGTGTCGGTCATTTGCAGAGGTGGATTCGAGGCTATAGGGCGAGGATAACGAGCTCAGGGACGAGGCGAGGTGAGGCAGTCCCAGAGAAAACACCTGCCTCCCTTGTTACTGTGTACACAGTACTGATCTCTATTACTTCCTCCCCCACTCCCCTCCTCTGTCTGTCCTCTTTTGTCTCTTATTTTACTTATTCATAATCTTTCATCTTGTCGTTGTTCTGTCCCCCCCCCCCCACACACACACACACCATTCTCCACGTGTATTTTTGTAGATCGTGATCTGTGGCCAGAGGGATGCCCCAGACACCACAGGTCTTCTAGCAACAGTCAACTCCCTCTTCCTACCACATAAGGTAAGTGTTTGTGAGTCATCATCTTCACAAACGTGCGTACATGTCATCAGTCCCTAAAGCAACACTGAAAAGCAATGATCAAGTTGCAGCGCGCAGACATGCATTGATTTACAGCAATATCAGTACCTCTACGGGGGCAGCAGATTCACAGTAACCTTTGAAAGACGTGCACACAAAAACACAGACTCACATGGCTTCAGAGTGGGACCAACCTCATCAGTGCCTGGGGTGTTGGCTGATTTAAGTGTGGTTCTTTAAAGGTCAGCCTGAGCTCCTCTCCTCCACCCAGCTATCTCTTTCCTGGCTTTAGCTGACCTTAAAGCCCTTTCCTAACATCTAGATGCCTAGTGGGTCTAAATCTTAACTCTGAAATTGAAGTGTGTTTGAGTGTGTGAGGCTTCCTGCCAGCCCTGACACAGGCTGTTTGTTATGAGTTGGACAGCTGTCAGTCTGAGTCAGACTGAAATCCAGTGTGGTTAACCGAGGCTGTCATATTTATGTTTCCTATGGCCACATTTCTCAGATGTTTCATCCTTAAACCTTTAAGAGAAGTCTTTGATTCTCAATAAGCGCTTGTAGTTAAAAGTAATAACAATCAACATTATGGGAAATTGGCCTATTTAGAGAGTTAAAATATAAGATCCATAGCCGCTGTCATGTCTGTCCACTAAGTATGAGGATAGTGCCAGCAGGTGATCAGCTTATCTTAGCACAGAGACTGGAAGCACGATTCCCAGGCCAAGACATATAGTCCTTTAAGTTAAGCTCCTGTAAAACCACAGCATGTCTTTTTTTGAACAGAATTAACAAACAAGTGAGCTTTAGAGTTTTTAACCTTTGGGCAGAGCCGTTAATGGCTAGCCAGACAGGCCGTTTCCCCCTGTTTCCAATCTCTATGCTAAGTTAAGCTAACCACCTGCTGGTTACAACTTCACATTTACCATACTGACATTAGAGTGATATCGTTCTTCTCATCTGTCTCATAGCAAAAAGGGCAACTAGTGGATTTCTCTGAATGTTGAAATGTTATTTGAGATACATTGAAAGATAGATGACAGATATTTATAGATACAGATAAAAACATACATACCACACAAGTACTAAACATAAGAGTTAAAAGTAAAAAGTATGAAAGAATGCGTGCATATTGCTATAAGGTGTGGAAAAGTTAACAGCGTGTATTGCATTTTGCCAGAAGTTACAGAGAATGTAATTGTAAGTCCAGTTACACTCCAGTTGGACGTCAGCATCTTCCCAGGTCACTGATGTCCACACTGCATCTTCCTCTCCATCATCACCTTTGTTCTGTAAAGGGAACTAAAGTTTCAGGGTGACACACGGACTGACACATATGTTCCCAGTAAAGGTTCCTGCAAAGCAGGCGTGCCAGCTCTCTGTGTCTCAGTACATACGCTCGGCATACTTAACAAAACAACCTTCAGAGAGTCCAGCTCAACTCCTCCTCTCCTAACTGAGCTGGCATTCCTAATTTGCTTGTTGAGCTTCACTCTCACGCTCCGTCCCCAGCACAGCAGCATTGAAGATAGCACTGTCCACCACAGAATATTATATCACACATAACATTTGCAGCTTCCTGTTGCAGATGTAGAAGCATCTGAGCATCCACAGGAATGTAGGCCCTCTTGCAGAAGTAGGGTTCCCATGCGCCCCACTGGCTAAAGCCACATCATAATATTAAAAAAGGGAAAAGTACAGAGAAGCTTATAAAGGAAAATGTATGATCTCTCTTTCACAGTTCTTGTCAGTACATGTGCCGCAGCATCCTGGATCACCTGGGGAGTCTTAAGGGGCTTATTAAGGCACCCTGACAATGAGGAATTGCAATTATCGAGACTACCTTACCGAGACTCCTTATGGTGGTGCTGTATGCCAGGGTAATGCCATCTAGAGTAACCATATCTTTAGATAACTTTTTTCTGAGGTGTTTGGGGCCATGTACAACAACCAGTTTGTCTGAGTTCAACATCAGAAAATTGCAGGTCATCCAGGTATTTATGTCCTTAAGGCATGCTTGAAGTTTAGCTAACTTCTTGGTTTCTTTCCAGCTTGATCACAATGCTTTCCAGTGTAGAGCGGTTTCTTTAATGGCAATTAAATGTCCCAGTCTCTGGAATAGGTAATGATGGTCAGTGGTGTTGAATGCAGCACCAAGATCTAACAAGACAAGTACTGAGATAAGTCCTTTGTCTGATGCAGCTAGAAGGGCATTTGTAATTTCCACCAGTGCTGTCTGTGTGCTATGATGAGCTCTAAATAATCCGAAAATTATCAAATAAAATATTTTTTATGTTTAAAGTCACACAACTGATGAGAACTGCTTCTCAAGGAAGAAAGCAAGCCTGATGTAAGACATAAAAGTTCTAGCATACAATATAAACTGTCCTGTCAGATACAGTACATCTTGCTAATTTTATAACTTTGACCTACTGTTCTTAACCAATAATGTTAGCCAAGCAACCTGGGTGTAATGTAGGCTAAAAACGTGTCGGCACAAGTGTCATTTACACTGGGAATGTTGGGGACATGTCCCCACCACTTTTTGAAATGGCAGATTTTGTCCCCACCACTTTTTGAAAGCATTTGTTAAAAATGTTCTGAAAAATAGCTTTCAACAAGAAATGTTACAAATAATAATAACAAATGAAAATGCATTGAGAAAGGTATATTTGCACGATAAGAAAACATGCAATGTAATTTAAATATAGAAGAAACAAATGCCCATTGTCCAAAAAAACTAACTTAAGCTAAAAAAACAAGCTACAGATTATAAAATGACCCAAAAACGTGCATACACCAGTCAGTAACTATAACAGTTTCTTGACACAATTTCTATTTGGCAGCAAAAAAGCAAACTGTGCCCAGTGTAATTGATTCTAGGCGAAGTGAGGGATGAGGATGAGAGCTCAATCCAGTGTAAACTAGATTCATCAGTGTTTTATGTTTTGCTTATCTTGTCACCTTTTGTGCAGAATTGCTAAATGAAGCACTGAGTTGTGTTTATTTGACCAGCCCATGGCCGAAATTAGATCAGTAAATTAAAACTGTGATTGACACCCTCCATTTCTCTCTCTCTCTCTCCCACACACACACACACACATTCATTAGGGCCCTATTGAAATATAGATGAGTTGCAGTAGCATCAGGCCATTCCAGATCCCTGCAGAGAGACAGACACCAAGAACGAGCCAGATAGAGCCTTTATCAGGGTGGATCTATTATTAAGGTGGATGTACGTTATCACCCCCAGCCAGGACCAGTGACATGATTATGGGGGGGTTTCAGAATATCAAAGCAGGTTTAGATTTTAGATGTGGAATGCAAATATGTTTTATTTGGTTTTGAACATGTTGTAATCACACACAAAAAAAATATGTGACTATTATTTCTCTTAACTAATATCCATTTATTGTTATTTATTGTTTTTTTTAGCAATAGTAAGAATTTTTGGGTATTTGTAGCCTTCTGAGCCCTGCGATTACCTTGTAGAGGCAAGTATTTGCGGGTCAAAGGCCTTACGTTTGTGTAAGTCTTCTTCTGTCTTAGGTGTTTTATTCATCAAATTCAAATTAATAAGGCTTCAGCGAGAGTGAGGGTTAGGGCCTTTGTCTGCTAATGAGTGCAGTAACGTCAGGGCTGAGCACAAGGGAGGAATGTAGTTTTAAAGGCCTCATGCAGTGGAGGATGAGATAAGACATGATGGTGACCAGAGAACGACACCAGTCTTTACTTCTGGGACCCATAAGATGCTAAATGAGAACGAGATGACACACTTAATGAGAGTACTATAACAAGAAGAGTCAAGAGGGGAACAGCGTTTCTTTTTATTACTTGGACAGAGGCACAGATTAAAAAAGAAAATCAGAATGGGTTGTGTGAAAATGCCCAGAAAAAGCAGACTTCACTTGTGTTTTCTTAGACACTGAATGTAAAGAGGAAACAACACTCACACTGTGTGTGGGTGTGTGTGTGTGTGTGTTTGTGTAAGCCAGAAAAAGACACATCTGGACAGGTCTGTCAGGGTGACACGACAGATCCAGATTTTGTTCTAATGAGCTTCATTGAACCTCAGAGTGAGATGGAGCCTGGAGTCAGATGGGAAAGAATAAATGAGACCTAGGAGTGTGCGTGTGTGTGTGTGTGTCCAGATGTTGTGAGAACAGCTGGCCATTAGCGGCAGTAGCAACTATCTTGGCTGGACTAAGATGTGATGATCCAGCACAACACTTAACACACAAACACACACACACTCTCACTCTTGGGGACGAGACACAACACTCCCAGAGGAGTAGCACCACTGCCTGCAACAGCTGTGAGACACACACACACACACACACACACACTAGCAGGCACACACTTTTTTGATACAATATGTCCACACACATGTACCCAAATAGCAACAGAACACATGAACACATTCTCTGGTGCATATACACACATGCATACCCGTAGAGCAGCAGAAAACAAACAAACAATTAGATAATAGATGATTAACTGGATGAAAAGCAATGCGACTGAATCGGTATGAGAACAATAAAGGATAAAGTGTATGATGGAGTCAAGAGGGTGAATTACGTAAGTACTGTGGGTGGGAAGAGATGGAGGGATGTTAGATGAGACAAACGGAGGAGGCAGAGGGAAGAGCGTGATGGGCTTGTGCTCCACGTTACATTAGGTAGCTACGGGCAGAGAACATGTCTAATTTAAGTCCAATTATTCCTCGCCTGTTTTCCTGGTCCGAGGCCGGCGTGCTCTAATTGTGCTGAATGAGGTGCTCAGAGCACAACTCTTGCTAATCTAAACACACATACACACACACACTCGTAGATCTTCACTTCATTAAATTTATTTACCATTTATATTCACCACAAGACTGTGCTTCTCAGTTCACCCCAGCACTCTGAGCTTCTGCCGCACGTTTTCCTTGTTGGAATCAATTACGACCCTAACAGCCATACTGAAACATCGCTCCCGATTGTAAT